ATTCGTTATCTGAAGTAAGTAGAGAGCGATTCGATCTTGGTGATTGAAAGCCTGTTGTTTTAATCTTTAAGTCATCATTTCAAGGCGACTTATGTGTTTAAACTGACTATATCAGTAATGATATGATTGAGCATTAAAAGTAGTTTGTGAAATTACCTATTGAACGTTCTTACTTTCCCTCGAAACAATTTTTTTCGGTTATTGAGTACAATAAAATAAATACGACTTGAAATTTGGTAGCGTCAATTATTTTTAGACTTTTCCATAATATAAAATACAAAAACGGACCAAATGAAAGTAATCTAATCTTTTAAAAAAACTAAATTTTACATATGCTAAACACTATCATTTAGTAATTCAACTACATTCATTATCACGCTATTTTAATTTAAAACAAAATGGATTCAGAAATGGGTATGACAAGTGGCCTCCTCTAAATTACTGGTTCGGTCACCTGAAGCTTTCTTCTCCTACTATTCCGACTTAAGCGGTGGCAAGGTGTACTTAATACATGACCTAACCACCTCAGTCGATGAAGATTTACAACCGATTTGCTATCTTCGAATGGTACCCCATCTCTAGCATGAACATCGGTGACTAGGTAGTTCCATAAAACGCAAGTAGTAAATCAGAGAAAAATAGGGTCAAAAACCTTCAGTATACGTATATCTTCTACCATAATAGATCACGTTCCAAAATACCAGAGTATTACAGTGTTATACTTACTTACTGACTTACGCCTGTTACCCCTCGTCGAGGAGCATAGGCCGCTCACCAGCATTCTCCATCCAACTCTGTCCTGAGCCTTCCTTTCCAGTTGCTATTCAGCCTTTTCATATCGGCTTCTATTTCCCGGCGTAGTGTGTTCTTTGGCCTTCCTCTTCTCCGCTTCCCTTCTGGATTCCAAGTTAGGGATTGAGTCGTGATGCACATTGGTGATTTCCTTAATGTATGTCCGATCCACTTCCAACGTCTTTTCCTAATTTCCTCTTCAGCTGGAAGCTGGTTTGTCCTCTCTCATAAAATGCTGTTGCTGATATTATCCGGCCAATGGATTTTGAGTATATTGCGTAAACAACTGTTTATAAATACTTGCACCTTCCTGATGATGGCCGTAGTAGTTCTCCACATTTCAGCTCCATACAGTAGGACTGTCTTGACGTTCGTATTAAAGATTTTGACCCTGAAATTGGTTGAGAGTTGTTTTGAGTTCCATGTGTTCTTCAATTGTAGAAATGCTGCCCTTGCTTTGCCAATCCTCGTCTTTACATCTGCATCAGATCCTCCTTGTTTATCAACGATGCTCCCCAGGTACTTGAATGTTCCTACATCCTCCAGAGTTTCGCCATCAAGTGTGATTGGGTTGGTGTTCTCCGTGTTGCATTTGAGAATCTTGCTTTTTCCTTTGTGAATGTTGAGGCCTATCGATGCGGAGGCTTCTGCTACATTTGCGGTCTTCATCTGCATTTGTTCGTATGTATGGGAGAGGTGGGCTAGGTCATCTGCGAAGTCCAAATCATCTAATTGATTCTGAGAAGTCCATTGTATTCCTTATTTCCCCTCAGATGTTGAATTCTTCATAATCCAATCAATCACTAGAAGGAAGAGGAATGGGGAGAGTAGACAGCCTTGTCTGACTCCGGTCCTTACTGGAAATGCATCTGTCAGCTGTCCTCCATGCACCACTTTGCACTGTAGTCCATCGTATAAATTCCGTATGATGTTCACGATTTTCTCAGGTACACCATAGTGTCGAGGAAGACTCCACAAGTTCACCCTATCCACTGTCAAATGCTTTCTCATAATCAAGTAAGTCGATGTATAGTGACTAGTTCCACTCAACTGATTGTTCAACGATGATCCGTAGTGTCGCAATCTGGTCTGTGCATGACCGATCCTTACGGAATCCAGCCTGTTGATCTCGAAGTCGAGCGTCTACTGCGTCTTTCATCCGATTCAGCAGCACTCTGTTGAAAACTTTTCCTGGTACTGATAACAAACTGATGCCTCTGTAGTTTTCACATTTGCTCAGTTCTCCTTTCTTTGGTATCTTGATGAGATATCCTTCTTTCCAGTCCATTGGCACTTGTTCTTCTTCCCAAATCTTTTTGAATAGAAGGTGAAGCATGTTTGCAGTTATTTCAATGTCTGACTTCAGTGCTTCTGCTGGTATATTGTCAGGTCCTGCCGCCTTCCCACTTTTGATTTGTCTGATGGCCATCTTGACTTCTTCGATCGTTAGTGGAGAGACATCTATTGGAAGGTCTGTGTGGGCTGCTTCGATGTTCGGTGGGGCTGGTCTATTCAGCAGTTCCTCGAAGTATTCTGCCTATCTTTTCCTCTGTTCTTGAATATCAGTGATTGTCTTTCCTTCTTTGTTCTTGACTGGTCTCTCTGGTTTGCTATATCTCCCTGCCAATTTCTTTGTTGTATCATATAGTTGTTTCATATTACCCTCTCTTGCAGCTTTTTCCGCCGTCGTTACTAGTTCTCCCATGTATTTCTGCTTGTCGGCTTTAATGCTTTTCTTCACTCCCCTGTTTGCTTCTGCGTAGTCTGCTTGTGCTTTGACTTGCTCTGCTCGTGTTCGGCTGTTGTTAATTGCTAGTTTCTTGTTCTTCCTTTCTTGAATTTTGTCCAGGGTTCCCATGGAGATCCATTCCTTGTGATGATGCTTCTTAAGACCAAGAACCTCCTGACACGTTGAAGTTAATGCTTCTTTTATCCCTTTCCAGTTGTCCTCCAAAGTAGTTTCTTGTTCTTTCAGTGGCTCTTCTAGAGTTACTGCCGGTCCCAAGCCCGGGTAAAGGAGGAGGGTTGGGTATGGGGTTAGCGACCCCATCCCGTAGAAAAGCTAACTCGCTAAAAAAACGCTAACCAGAAATTACAGTATTATCGGTATGGGAATATGGAGATTGTTAAGTTTCTGATTGAGATCAGGAATCGACTGATGTTAGACCACCACTAAAAACGTGGAAGCACTGGACAACCTTTTTCCCTTATATTGCACTACTAAGCACCGCGCACACACAATCTCATGAGAAAGAATCGAGTCCAGGACCTTCCGGTCTCAAGTGCAAGAGCTTAACCTCTAGACCACTTAACTGGGATTTAACGGTGTTAATGTCTGGCTAACATCAGTTCGTTATTTAAGTTGAAAAAAATTTTCTTTAATGCAGATATTTTAACTTTTTGATGATAAGAATGCAAGTACAGTACTTAAAATATACTATTTTTAAGTAACATTGTACGATGGAATTGTAGTGTGCTTTAATGATCATTTATTGATTGGAATGAAAAATTAGTTTATTGTTACCTACACGTTTAATAATAGCAAGTTTCTTCACATATATTAACACCACGTACAAATTAAAACGATATTCAAAAAGTTTGATTTACTAATATTATCGCTTTTTGATAATTAAAAATTGTATCATCCGACACCAATTACAGATTTTGGGTATACACTTGCATCAACTTTAATTTTTACACAAAGTTCAGTAATCTTAATTAGATGAAGACTAAACGTACTATATGGTTTTTTACCATCTAAAATGGAATGAATCTGTTAACTACAACTTTCACATGTCACAAAACTATTAGGACTAAACATAAGTATAAAGGTCATTTTTTAATATAAGGAAATGATGAGTTATAGAAACTCTATATATTTGGTTTTTTAAAACATTACAAATTAGTCTTTTACGTAACTTAGCGAAAACTACTGAAACACCTAAATATTTAAACTATTGGTGCCATGTAAGTAGGTTCCCATCAGTTGGAGAGGAACTGATGAATACAGAGCACTGGACAACAATTTCAACTTTCACAATCTTAAGAGGTTTTATGGGATCGAGAGCATATTTGTTGGAGTATGTACTTCCTGAGAGTCACTAAAGGGGAGAGAAACATTTGTTTAGTATCACTTGATTTTCAATGATTCTCCAGCTGAAACAAATGTGATTGAAAAACCTTCTTAAACCCTCTAACATAATCCTAAACAAAATAAGTATTTGCGTCCTTTCTTTACAGTATGTGATTCGTAAAATACTCTAGTGAGTAGAGAAATACATTGTTGACGTTTCACCGCTTTTCTAAAGAATCAAAAAAGAAAGCGACGTATATACTAAGCAAGACATGAACAAAATGTAATGACTATTGGTGGTAAAATGGGATATTATTAATTAATCAATCTTCAGCTCAAACAACAATGTAAAACTTAAGAGATGATACAGGTAGAATTAGTTATTGAATGACCAACCATAATAGCTCTTAATGATGACAACTATATGTACGTCTTTGCACAAAAACAAAAAAAACATATTTGGCAGTCACATTATTACTACAGAAAATCTAACGATTGTTTAGCTCAAACAAACATATAAAACAATGGTCGGTAGTTGTATAACAATAAAGAACTGAAACTGTTCAGATAAAATCCTGAAAACAAGAGCATATATATATCATAACTATATATGAATATATATTGATTATATAATCATCATTTGTAGAAGGAAAACGCCTCGGAATAACAACAACAGGAACACATGCATAACCACAGTCAGTAAAGTAATCAAGTATTTAGGCTATAGAACAAATGTAAAGAAACACAAAAATAGGATATGCTTGAGAAAGAAAACAAATTAGTAGAAAATGTAAAAATCAATGAATAAAAACATGAAGGTAAGACACAAAAACACAAGTACACTTAGTAAACATCACAATTATAGGATTGAGATAATCTTAATAGCTACATCTTAGAGAAGACAATGGGTTATTACAATTTGAAGATACATAATGTAACTCTATGGAGAAAACAAGAAACAATCGGTGGATAAGTAAATAAAATAAAATGGTTGAAAAGTTGAAATAAAATGTGGACCATTTTTCAAAGAGAGAAAGGATTTATGGACAATAAAATTTGTTCAAATAGAAACAACAATAGCAACAAAAAAGAACGTAGAATGAAAATACGATGATGATAATCACATTTTACAGTTTTAAGTTTCTGATGTCATACGAAGTAGTTCATTGATAACAATTTCTCGATTTCCATGATGTGTTGTTAAAAGTGATTGAATTGTATCATCTTCAACAGATGGGAAAATTTCATGTATAGATTGAACATCTTCAGCAGATATTGGTTTAGGTAATACGTTCATACCACCGATTTCACCTAATCTCGGTTGACAATCTATAAAAAAGGTATCAAATGTAAATAATTAATGAGGACAGTGTGATCTTATGTTAAAAGATATTTAACTATTGATTCTGAGTTCAGAAAGAGTCTTAAGCTAGTCTCCAACCAGGAATTTCAACGCTTTAAATTACCTCTTCTAGAATGTTGCAATTGATTTATTACTAGAAATATTTTTTTTTTAATTTTTATCTGAATAGGAGGAGTAGACTGCTTGGTTTGGATATACGAGATAAACATAATCTGAGTGTAGATCTTAACTGAAAAAGCATAAAATAGGTAACAGTGGGACATGTCCATTTATTTCTTATTCTACTCCAGATCATGAGTTTTTATGTTACTACTTTTTATTTGCTGATCATTTTCGTGAAGCATATTCTTTATATATAGATATTTTTGTTTACCATTATTGATACAGCTATCAATTCGACCGTCTTGATTTTTATCCAGTCATTTCTCTCTCTTTGGGTGTGTTGATATGCTGTTTAGGAACTTGGACTGGTGTACATGTTTACCAGGTTTATGATTGACAACCACAATACATGAAAACACATACTCGTGTAAATGCATGCTAAAGTTTGGTAAATATACTTGAGTGACTATTCACTTCTACATTTATTTTAAAAGATGTATGAACTAGTCGTTATTATTGTAATTCATTTAAATAGTTTATGAGACATTGATTTACACTGTTGACTCGAGGACATTACACAGTTACTTCGTAATAATTCTACAGCTGTTATCGATCGTCTTCGAAGATTGATTCTATAATCCATTAAAGATAATGTGAGTACTTCCCTTATTTACCTCTATTAGGGATATAAATTCTAAAGTGTGTTTAATTCATGTTAAAATAATTTAGTGAATTTTAAAAATAAAGATCCATTTACTCTTATCTGAAAAAGGGATCGGTATGCGCAAAAAAATTTGGGCAAATACGAGAAGAAGTGGATGAATGGAAAGTACGTAGAAAGACATGTACTTAATGTGTTTCACAAGCATAAGCCAGGGTATAATCCTAACTGAAAATAAGGACTATACATCATGCCCAAAGCAGTCTAATTGTTATACATAGTCGTCCAAGTCGGTGGAAGTGTAATCAATTTAAAGCAAATGATTGATAGTAGAACATGAAAACCACTGAACTATTGATCTATACGATAAGAAAAAACAGACAAACAAACGGAACTAAAGCAGTCACACTCACATAATGGACTGGACTGTAAAACTGGAAGGTTTACTGGTACTTTCTAAAATTAAAAAAAAAATGAAACAAAGTAAAGTCAGTTATATTGATATCAGAAGAATATAACAAACTCCATTTAAATAAAAATTGGTGATACATTAAGGTAAGACTCAACAAGTCAATAGAGTATTAATTAGTAAGATTTGGATATTCCCGTTGTTAATATCCTGGACTAAACTGATCAGTAACTAATGATGATAGACAAAGCCCTTGAAGTAAACAATATTTTTCAATGAGTAGTCTACAGATTAGAATCTGGAAATATACACTAGGTTAGTGCTTCCATATATATATTTGAATGAATTGAGGGACCTAAATATGTATTTAGTTGGACTTCTCACTTTTCGCTTGTACCAGAAGGAATCCCAATGTTCGGAAAAGAAAAGAAAGATATATTCACCTACATTTATATTTTGATAAATATTAGTCAGCCGTATTTTTAGGTCCATTAATTCGGTCCTTATCCTATTCGAATTACTATTATTCACACTTATTTATTTATTTAAACACATAAATATTGGTACAAAAAGCACCAGATAAATATGCGCCGCACAAATCTCATTCGATTTGTGTGAGGGCTGAGATACTACCCAGGTGCCCAGACTGAAACAGGTGGTTTTCTTACGGGACCACAACCGGAGCATTTGACCAAAAGGTCTGATCCACATGGCAGTGGAGCATCGTGAGGAGATGCGGTCCCATGGTAGCCGGTCACCAACAGTTGGTTCATACGCCATTCGTTCCATCAGGATACTGGAGCCCATGTGCACCATTGGTTTGGAATTATGGTTTTCCAACTCCCCTAGGTGGATCCTACACATCCACCAACCCGGTTAAAGCGCCAGACATTCGCTTTTCGTCATCTCACTTTTGTGAACAACACCCGTGGCACGAGAAGGCAGTGAGTAGAACTTCCCTGGCAGAGGCTATATATTCGCGTGGCCATATGAGAGCATTTCGAGAGGAAGAGTGGACTCTTCCCACTCTCGGCCCTACCAGGGCATTTGAGGGCATTATTCACACTGTAAATATAAACTCACTTTTAGACGTATTTGTATTCAAACTGCATTCATTAACACCTCTTATTACAACAACACATGTGGGCGAGCAATTGTCTTCAATTACGATCCCTCCGGACGAGGTTCGAACCCAGGACCTATCAGTATCGCGCGCGAGCGTTTAACCTCTAGACCACTTAGCCTGCATTCAACAGTGTTAATGTCTAACTTCAACCAATCCACGAAATCGTGGATGCGCACTGCTGAGGAGTCCCGCAATGGGACGAAACGGTCGTCCAGTGCTTCCAGATTTTTCATGGTAGTTTAGCTTCAATTGACCCATGAATTCAACTATAAAATGACATTATTTTTTAATTTTGTTACCATTAGCATTATTTTTACACCCAGTCAGTCAGCTACAACGTAGGACCAGGCACATTAATGCATCGGTCCAAGTTGCCATACCTCGTTAGCACAACAAGATGAACACCGGATTCATAGAAGTAATTAATTTAGTGGTGGTAGTAGTATATAAATTATAGGTTGTATATAAGGATATAGTACAGGAAGGAAGAGAGATATGAAGCAATTTTAGTCTCAAGGTTTAAAGGAAGATAAAGAGTGTATACACCGTTATGTGTTTGTAATTTTCCGCCTTTTTCCGTTTGTATTCTTTACTATCTAATTATTTAGGCACTTCTTATTACATAAAGATCATAATGTTCTGTAATGATTATTCTAAGTCTTATCCCACGTCTGACCTTCTATTTCCAATGTTTAACCATTGATAAGACTTTTGTTATCGTAATTTACTATTCTTACTACTATCAGTACACCTTTATTTTCACTATCAACTTGTACTTCTACTTATTACGTGCAGTGACGTAATCTATTTCAGTGTGATTATTGATTCAAATTCCCTTGATTGGTTCAACATTTTCGTATAAATATTCATGAATTTTAGAATAAAGCCTGATGACGATCTAATTGAAAACAATTGTTCGTTTACATGTGTTGTTCTTATTTTCACAATGGGAATCTCTAACTTCTTATTACTTTCTATGGATTTTCCTTTACTTTTTCTTTGGAAATAAGTCATAATGGGACAAACAAATGATATTATCTGGTGAACGTTATTGTACTACCAAACTTTAAACATAAGGTTGGTGTTTTTCTAACATAAAGCTTTCTTCCTATTACAAAATAAAATAAAAAAAATTGACAACTTATATTGAGTCACTAGTATTTGGTGAAACTACATAGAGATCTGAGATATATGCTGTGAACCACAAACCTGATACTTGTGATTGCTAACAATACCACTCGGTTATTGATAAGAAATTAATGGAGGAAAATTTAAATAAGTCACTAAAAAGAACCGGAGTCAAGTGAGTAAGGCGTAATAAAACCTCTTGCATAAAAACAAAGTTGTCACAGATTATAGTCACAGAAAAAGTAAAAATACCAAGCACTGAAAAGAGTAAAAGAAGCTGATCGGTTAACGGGGAAAAACTTGAATAATCATAGGATAATTAGGCTTTGCATTTATGAGTGAAGGGAATAAATCAAAATTGCATACGACAGTCAGCAATACTGGATGAATACATCGAGAATATTTTGACAAAAGGTAATCACGTTTGGTAAAGGACGATTTTCTGAAGGGTTCTATTTAAACTGATCCAATTCAAAAAGTGAAACTATTTAACTCAAGCAGAAACTGGCCTGGTATTCAAGTAGATCAGTAGTGAATAAAATTAGAGCAGGTGTTTGGAGGATTCACAGTTGTAGTTGAGAATGACTAAGCTAAATGAAGTTTACCTCTAAAATAGAAACTTTAAGTGTACCGATGGTAAAATCAAACTTAAACAAGAGAAATGATTGTTGGGTATTAAGCCACTTTGAACTAACTAACCAGATTGTCGTGACTGGTTTTCAAGAATTTATGTGACACAGTAGTAGACAATATATCTCCCTTAAAGCAAGGACGCAAAACTACCAATCAGATCAGATTTATCTAAGCAGTTTGTCTTCAAAAATCACGGTAGAATTTGACTATTGATTTCCATCTGGCTCTGTTATGCTTACCTTAAGTAGTGAATTCAGCAAACACTTTGATTCTGTAATGTTTAAGATTTAAATGAAGACTAATTTTTAGCCATAATCATGTGAATTTTTCAAACATTAGTTTTTGATAGCTCATAAACCTCGGCCAAGAAAATTACGCTCATCCTCATAGCGATTACTAACTTTATGATATGATATGATATCAGAACTCATGAGTCACAACTCTATTAAGAGAAATTTTGCAAATCAATAAAAGTAGATAATAATTTGTGTAAGTGCTAGTTTACAATTGTGAGCAAGCAATAATAAGATCATAACAGTAGTTTGGATGAATCAATAAAGTTGTATTACAAAAAAGAAAATGAAAAGCACATGCTGTTAATAAATATTCAACTAATGTTATATTCGTGTACACAAACATATATACATACAAATCGACCTTAGAAACTTCATTTTATGCATCAGTAAAGAGACAAGTCACATAAATTATTGGTCTTTCATTTTCTTTATTTTTCCATAAACAAAACCATAAGTCAATATGGTGAATACACTAAAAATAACCAAAAGACCTAGTATTACTGGAAAGCCAAAGTAAACAAATAACAAACATTACCGTACAAATAAGCTCAGTACTTTGGTAAATGAAGCTCATGTTATGAGATACTCACATCAACAGCTAATATACACAAGCAGATGATTATGGTAAAACGCTGTCTTTTAATCACCTTAAGGTGTTGAACACTTAAGTGAGGTTTGATAAACAGAGATGAATAAAAAGATGTCAGAATCAATGTTGGTAATCGCCAAAAGCTATCAGGTTATAAGCAGACGAATAGAGAGCTCTAGAAATTTTAGTAAGTGAAACATGACAATATTATTGATAATGCGAGTAATATTAAAAGAGGTGCTATTTAAGAATCTTGAGCCACTTCACGAAAAGTGAGTAAACTAAGGACCAACATAGGCTTCCCATCTTTTGTCCCTAAACCATAAATCATTTTATTGATTTTCAATTATTTTGTCGTGAATTGTGGCAACTGGAGTAGATAAATGATTGGACCAGATCCTGTATTATGCAGATCAGTTCTAATCAGTAGGTAAATTGATCATAAATGAAACGTTATTGAAGCATAAAACTGTTATATCCTAGTGACTATCATTCTATATATGTATTCCTATTGTATAACTATTTAGTGATTAGAATGTATGCATCTATATTCATCTTACTATAAGCTTTATTTCGACCTATAAACTATCATTATACGATTTACTGTTCCCAAATTATATTCAGTTTATTGATTACTGTCTCCCACGTTCATAGCCACATTTGACTTGGTCTTGTTGAAATGTTATTTTCTATTTTATGGTATGATGCAATCTGTTTGGCTGGTATATAAACCGAGTATACTTGAAATAAATGATTCGTACAGTGAAGCTGTTATTGGTGTTCTGGACTAAACTGGAAGGGCTAGGCGGATAAAGCGACAATAAGGACACTAGGCTGCTCATACCGGTCGAACGTCATTGGTTTGGCAGTGCTAAGATTAGATAAGTCGTATTTCGATTGGTGAATAAATCACGTGACAAAAGCCGGGCATAAATTCATAACAAGAACCACCTTCAGAATAGAAGGGGAAAGAGTAGAGGTTGAAGAACTGGAGAATGATGAGGAGTGAACCAGAAAAAAAATTACCATGTTCGTGCCAAACTGGTAATGGATTCTTTATGAATAAGTAAGCCAAGTTGAAGTTTCTCGCTAATTAGCGAATCAAAGAGACATAAGTTTTTGTCTAACGATGAATTTGAAAGCAGTTGCACTGGAAAGGAAATAAATGACCCATAGTTCAAAATTTTTTGTGATATGCATATTGGATTGAGTGCGTGTACACACCTTATTTTTTCATATACTTGTTTTGCAAGTATATATGAACTGATAACAAAAAACAGATATACGCCAGTTTATAGTTGATAAAAAAGGAAGACGAAATTGGTAGTTGAATAGATTTGCACCAAAAAACCACTTATTTTTTTGTTAACTACTTGTTAGAAATCAGTTTCCTAATTTTAACGACTAAATAAACGACAGTCATGTTGATTAGTGTAAATGAACATTAGTTAATAATAAGTTTAGTTTGCTTACTCGACAACGGAAAACCAGATTAATTGAACCTTCTAAATCTTTTCCTTGTTTTCCACTGAGCGAATACCATTGATTTAAAGCAACACCATCAAATAAAGATGGAGGGAAAATTATCACAGCATTAGCAACTTGTGAATCGGAAAATAAGACATTTTCTGAAAACACTTCTACTGTTAATCTGTCAACAGCACTATGTAACCAACTAAATTTAATAAAATAAAAATAAACGAATTAAAAAGAATATATAAACACAATTTAGTACATGAAGATACCTATTACCAGAATATTATCTCATACATAACTATTGACAAAGACAAATTCTTTCATTTAGAACAATGAATAAAAGCTCATCAGAATTTAATTAAAACAAAAATAATTATAACAGAATAAATAATTTTCAATTTGAAAAGAGAAAACGAATCCAGTTTAATATGAAATTAATGCATTTACACAGATTAGAAGCCTTTAGAACTCTTTAGTTTTAGCATGTTCATTATACGATTGGTGAATAAAATTTTAATTCGACAAGTGTAAATTTATATTTTGTACGATGACTGAAAAATTCATTTTTTACGACCAAACTTGTTATAATACAACAGACCAAATAAAAGTAGACTGAAAGGTATAGTTCGAATATTGTCGGTTGCCTTATATAAACTTAGTTGCATTAAATACTAATTGAATATGAGGGAGTTGAAAGACTTTGTGCATAACAAATCCTATTTACTTGAAATGATACTTTTATACTTTTTCAAAATCTAACTAATAAAATCTGATTTATTGTTTAAGAATTTCCATCAATGGATGACAGAATTTAGTTTTATAAAAGTGGAAATGTCTGAACACTGGTCCTGTTTTGATAGCAGTAATTATAGACTAACAAATAAAACTCACCATTGGAAGGTTTCATTCCAAAAAGGATGTTTTCCAGATGAAAGTGCAGTCTGAGTCTCGAAGATGGCATCCCCAATGCGAATTCGACAGTAAAGATTCATAGGGAGTAAACCATAATTTTTAACAAGACGAGCCTAAAACAAGTGAAAATGAAAAAAAAATAGTTTGAAAGTGAGCTGAACCAGCTATTTAGAAGCGAATTTAGTTAACGAAACTGACAACCGCAAAATTTAGCACCAACGTTTTTACCTTTCCTTCATAGAGGGTACAGATGTGGCTGCGGTTTCTGGATAAGATTATCGATCAAAAAGTCATGAGTTCATTAGAATTCTATCAAGTTTCACTATAATTCATAATTACATGAGAAAGCTCATATCTCGCAAAAAACTATGCTAAACCATAAGAATATATTGCTTTATACAGTGTTCTAAATGCAGGAAGCGCCATACAAATGAAGTTCATTCTTAACACTTCTCGCTACCACAATACAGCAGAGAATACTGAACAGGATTACAGTACTTTCAGTTCTCAGTAAGTACGGAGATATCTTGAAATAATTTCATTTGCAAAGTGCCAACTAAACTCCGTATATCGAGACTTGAATAACACTTAGTCTTATTTCACTAAGACCAGTGTAAATAAGGAGGAATGTGATATGCTTGACACTAAATCGATTCCGCGGTAACGAACGAAAGCCAATGACACAATGACACGATAAGCTATTCTAATCGGTTGTCCCAGGCCCCGCTAACTAGATGAAGAAGTCCAAGGCAAGTAGGGGAATATATATGTATTCCGTAAGCAGCCGAGTACAAGCAATCCAATAAGGGGAAAAGTCAAGCGCACTTATACAGTAACAAATTGTCCTTGAGCATCATTAGTAAATAGCACACATAAAGAAACAATGGACCAATAGCGGTTAAGATAGTTTACAGGTGGGAAATATGACGTGAAGGTAAAAAGAGCGCTTTTGGCGCGAAAACAGCTAAATTCAAATTTTCAAAATAAAACTACAAGATTAAGCCATTTACCAAGTAAGTTCTGGGGATTGGACATCCCCAACAGAATGAGAAACAGTAAACAAAACCAGGAGCTTCAATCGCCAAAGTTACACTAGAAACGGTATTATTTAAGGTATTGCTTAGGACTGCTGAGAATAGTGAGGGGTTATGGATTTTCCCCAAATTTTCAAAATACATGCATTATTTGGTGCCGTAGGCTAAAATAATAACACTTCATGAGGTCACATATAACTATGGAAGTCCAATTACAAACATAAAAAGCAGCGTACTTGTTGTATTCTGTCTAGTGGTAGAGTGGTATGGAGTATCTCAGTTGGTGAAGTAACACTAGCTTCAAAATATGTGGTTTACTATATTGTTAAAAACTACAGGAAAGCAAAAATTGTAAATAGAATTCAATGAAAAAGTAAATCTTCGTGCTGCAAACAAGTCTCGACCACTGTGAAGTCTATGATGGAACCAATCTACTTCCGATGAGTAAAATTCAATATGTGTTATGACGATGAACACTACCCCTAAGACAAGTAAAATGAAACAAATAAGGGACTTTAGGCCCCAGATTATAACCACTAATTTGAAGGTTAGTCTATTCAATAAATGAAGACATAATTATATCCTTATCTAGACCCCCAAGATTACAAGTACAAACTTTCTGCTGGCTAACTTCAACCATCCGGCACGTAATGACATAAATGAAAGGTTTCCGTAGAACTATATGAAGTATACATTATAGGCACAATCATTGCAAATTACGTGAGTTATTTACTTCCATGCATCATCACCAACGGAAGAATAGGAATATTCCGGTTCAATCTGGGGCTAAAGTAGTTTGGAAGTTCGTGGAATTTAATTTAAAGCTATTACCGATCTACCCTTTGAGAATGAATAATATTGCGGGTGGAATGTAGGGAATAATTTGGTAGCTAGCGGTACGAATCGTTATTATTAAAAGAGATGATTGCTTAAAACACTCCTTTTTGATCGTACAAGTGGTCATATATAAACACTTTGCAGGGTGGCTTGGGTGCCCGAATATCATATACTTCGACTAACAATTTTAGACTCTTGGCAACACAGTTAAGAAATATTCATAAAACGAACTGAAAGCCAGGCTCTACGTTGTGAGTGACTGACCCAAAGCGAGTTTCGGGTCTTTGTACCGAGTATTTGGCTGTTGAATATATACTAATAGGAGTGTTATTAAGATTTTCTATGAGTGCTCATAATGAAAAAACTGACTTTAGTGTGTGCTTCAAGAGAGATCAGTGGTTTAATACTTGTGATTATCTTTGCTTTTGTGTACTTGTTGCATCAAAAAGCATTCTTGGTCTACTTTAACTTGAAGTATTTCGGTCAAGGTTTGAAATTTTGCTAAACTTTGTCTTGTGGTACTTTGTTTCTTACTGATTTTGAAACATGGGTTTATAGTGTGTCTTAAACATTAATCTGAATACAATAGTCGTGAGCACTTATTAATGTGGACAGCCAAATTGTTTATTCCCCGTGGAGGAAGGAATGCAATGTGGTGAGTGTAAAAAGTGATTCCATAAGATGTGTAACCGTTTAAGTTCCACCGCATACAAAAGATGTTCGGAGCCTACCTCACATTGGCTTAGTATGTTTGAAAGAAACGTTATTGATCTCGGAGGCTATGAGCCTATTAGCTTTGGCTAGTTTGAGAATCTATAAGTTAAACAAACACTTTCGAGCCTAATATCAAACAAATAAATAGACAATGACTCACCTGGGTGACATCTAATTGTAATAATAACTGTTCTTTGATAGGTGACACTGAAAGAGTAGGATCGCTTTCATGCTTTGGTTTACATCCATTTTCTACGACATTGGAAGGCTTTTGGACCAAATTATTAGACGAATTCGACGGTTTACCGTCAGGACTTGATAAGTCTAACAAGTCCACTTCGTGTTCATCAACAGACATCCTTGACGTAACACATTAATTCTTTGAAACCGCAACACTTCGTAGGGTTTCAATATTAACCAGTAAAGTATTAAGCATTAAATAAGTATTTATATGAAAAGCCGTCCAAAATTTTTGGCCTCTAATATGAATTTTGTTGCTTACATCTAGCTCAAAAAAGAAGTTGCAGTTCATTCTTAATTTATATTAGTGAACTTCATCAACACATATCGACTGATTTATTACTTTTTGTTGGTGATTAGAAACTCTGGAGAGAGGTTCGCAGCCAAGATGATAGGCTGCGACTTCTCGAGGACCTAATTCAACTTCAGAGTTGGGTGAACAACAACGGACCTACTTTCAACACCTCAAAGTGTAAAGTAGTCCATTGGCGACCTGTTGCAGATTGCGAATCTAACTTAGACGACTACCTTCTAGAAGTACTTCAAGTTGAAAAACATCTGAGGGTGTTGGTACCCTATGATCTGAAGTTTTACGCTAACTGTGACAAAATGTCTTTCGTGCAGACCTTGCACTGTTAACGTTGAAGCGCATTTTTGGCCAGTTCAACGGAAAAACCTTCTACTTAATCTGACACTGTTTTATTGAACTCCATTCAGAGTATGGAAACAAAGTGCTTCTCGCCTCACTCCAAAGTAATAAGCATATATTGGAGAAACTCAGACAGTAAGCCACAAGATCACTTCAGTTTCAGTTTGGAAAGGTCAGGAGGCTTGATGGACAGTGTTAGTCCTGGCAATGATGATCTCTCAGCTGATCCAACTTTCTTTTGAAGGGGTCGACGGATGGAGCCTCAACCACGTGCTGAGGTAATGAATTCCACTCGTTGATTATTCGATGGGAAAGTCGGTAGTCAGCTGACAAGTAATTCGTTCTGGGCTTGTGAACTTTTTTGGAGTGTCCTCGTAGATTTTCTGTTTTGGAAGACAAGAAAAATGAGGGCATATCAGGTGCAAATTTGTCATTAAGCAATTTGAAAACTATAACCAAGTCACCTCTGATTCTTCTATATGACAGCGGGAATAGGTTTAGCTTGGTCAGTCTAGTACCATACGGGAGCTTCGCTATTCCGGGAACCAGCCTAGTTGCTGTTATCTGAACCCTTTCCAAGAGTTCACTGTCTTTTTTTAGGCAGAGGTTAGCTGCTTGTATACAGTACTCAAGTTTAGGGCGTACGAACACTGTATACAAAGTCAAAAACGTTTTAGCGTCAAGATGCCTAAAAGCCCTGTGTATGGACCATAAAGTCCTAAAACCTTTGGCGGCTATTGCACGGCAGTGTGCAGTAGTCTTTAAGTCTTGACTGACGATGACGACTAAGTCGTTGTGTGCCTGAACAATAGGTAACTCAGTGTTATTCATCAAGTATGTATCTGTACCCTGATGGCCAATATGCATCACAATACACTTGGAAGTGTTTATCGGCAATTGCCAGGTTTGGGACCATTCAGATAATCTCTCCAGGTCATTTTGAAGTTCTAAGCTATCGCCCTTGCTTTGTATCGCTCTCCATATCTTGACATCATCAGCATAGAGTAAGACCGATGACGATAGTAGACGAGGGAGATCATTTACGTACAGGAGGAATAACACTGGCCCCAAAACTGTACCCTGGGGGACTCCACTAAGCACAGTTTCCCATCTAGACAACTTGGAGTTCACCCTTACTCTTTGTTGACGCCCAACTAGGAAGTCTTTTATCCACATCAATAGATTGCCTCCAATCCCGACATTCCTTAGCTAATATAACAGCCGGTTATGCGGAACTTTGTCGAAAGCTTTGTTGAAACTGAGCAACTCAAAACAGTGAACTTTTACCCAGTAGGGTATAGGCGTCTTAGAGATGACCTTTTAATGACTCACAGTATACTACGTACTTCTGGGCATCTCCTTAAATACTTACCTAAGCTCAGTCCCAACACAAACCCTAGAGGTAACACCAAGAAGTTGCAGTCACAACATAGCAGAACGGACTATAAACACACCTACTTCTGAGGAGTAGCCAAATGCTCAAATTCGCTGCTGGCTGAGCTATTTCAAGTGACTTCCCGGGGGTCGTTTGACAGAAGACTTGAGATGTTCTCAAAGACTAAAGACAGTACCTCGCTATAATCTACCAATATTATTTTTCTCTTTTAGCTATGTCAGCTCCTCTCCTGGTTCTCACATCTTCCATTTTCCTTCGGAATATTTTGTTGATACAAATATGATCTACCTAGTTCTCTTTCTTGGTGTCTGGCGCGATCCCTGTAGCTTCATGTATGCGTTTGTGTGGAGATATTGTGCCTCCTATAACCAATTTGTTTAATGCATTTAGATTTGCGAATCTCCCCCATTTTCATTTCTCTATCCCAGTCCATGTCGTCCCATGATATCTTCATATCCGATGTTGTCCACTCCGACTTTGGCGTTTGGGTCTCCCATCGGGATGGTGAGGTCCTTTCTCGAGCACTTCGCTGTGATCGTTTGCAGCCTTTCATAGAACTGATCTCTGTCGTTGTCGTTGCCATCATTGGTGGGTGCATAATATTGGATAACATTAATTGTGATCCCCTACCTTACTGTGATGATTCTGAATCGCTGAGATTTTCATCCTACAAGTGCATTTCGTGCTTCTCCGGACAGCGTCAGAGCAACTGCCTGAGTGTGTGTTGCATTTTCCTCTTCGTGACTGGAGTACAGAAGCATCTCTCGTTTCGTTGATTCGGAGTACTGCCACTTTGTATCTCCTTATTTCCTTTGCTATTTGACTGGTCTTCCACAGTGTCTGGACGTTCCATGTACCTATAAATATTGTTGCTGTGGTTGTTAGAAGATCCATCGGCCTCGTGAATTCCGAAGAATCCCGGATTTCATCCTGAGGCGTCGTAATTCTTTCTTCAACTCCCAGAGAAGAATTTAGTTAGTTTGAATTATTTCTTCTGGTTAGCGTTTTTCTAGCGAGTTGGTTTTCTACGGGTTGGGGTCACTAATCCCATGCCCAACCCTCCTCCTTTACTCCGGCTCTGGATCGGTAGTAACTGTAGAAGAGCTACAGGCGGAATTCCTAGTCAGCACATAAACTCGACCAATTCCAATTATCAAAACAATCCTTAGTGTTGTTTTTCGCTTGGTTTAATTAAGTAAGCACATTCCCTTTTTCAATTGCCCTCGTTCCTCTAGGTGTTCGTCTATAGGCACAAATGTATGCAAAAGATGTATCCGGAAACCATTCTCACATTTGATTTCTTCTGTTACTTACTTACTTACGCCTGTTACCCCTCGTCGAGGAGCATAGGCCGCTCACCAGCATTCTCCATCCAACTCTGTCCTGAGCCTTCCTTTCCAATTACTATTCAGCCTTTTCATATCGGCTTCTATTTCCCGGCGTAGTGTGTTCTTTGGCCTTCCTCTTCTCCGCTTCCCTTCTGGATTCCAAGTTAGGGATTGAGTCGTGATGCACATTGGTGATTTCCTTAATGTATGTCCGACCCACTTCCAACGTCTTTTCCTAATTTCCTCTTCAGCTGGAAGCTGGTTTGTCCTCTCTCATAAAACGCTGTTGCTGATATTATCCGGCCAGTGGATGTTGAGTATTTTGCGTAGACAACTGTTTATAAATACTTGCACCTTCCTGATGATGGCCGTAGTAGTTCTCCACGTTACAGCTCCATACAGTAGGACTGTCTTGACGCTCGCATTGAAGATTCTAACCGTGAAATTGGTTGAGAGTTGTTTTGAGTTCCATGTGTTCTTCAATTGTAGAAATGCTGCCCTTGCTTTGCCAATCCTCGTCTTTACATCTGCATCAGATCCTCCTTGTTTATCAACGATGCTCCCCAGGTACTTGAATGTTCCTACATCCTCCAGAGTTTCGCCATCAAGTGTGATTGGGTTGGTGTTCTCCGTGTTGCATTTGAGAATCTTGCTTTTTCCTTTGTGAATGTTGAGGCCTACCGATGCGGAGGCTTCTGCTACATTTGCGGTCTTCATCTGCATTTGTTCGTATGTATGGGAGAGGTGGGCTAGGTCATCTGCGAAGTCCAAATCATCTAATTGATTCTGAGAAGTCCATTGTATTCCTTATTTCCCCTCAGATGTTGAATTCTTCATAATCCAATCAATCACTAGAAGGAAGAGGAATGGGGAGAGTAGACAGCTTTGTCTGACTCCGGTCCTTACTGGAAATGCATCTGTCAGCTGTCCTCCATGCACCACTTTGCACTGTAGTCCATCGTATAAATTCCGTATGATGTTCACGATTTTCTCAGGTACACCATAGTGTCGAAGAAGTTTCCATAATGTTCTCCTGTCCACGCTGTCAAACGCCTTCTCATAGTCAATGAAGTTGACGTATAGTGATGAGTTCCACTCAACTGATTGTTCAACGATGATCCGTAGTGTCGCAATCTGGTCTGTGCATGACTGATCCTTACGGAATCCAGCCTGTTGATCTCGAAGTCGAGCGTCTACTGCGTCTTTCATCCGATTCAGCAGCACTCTGTTGAAAACTTTTCCTGGTACTGATAACAAACTGATGCTTCTGTAGTTCTCGCATTTGCTCAGATCTCCTTTCTTTGGTATCTTGATGAGATATCCTTCTTTCCAGTCCATTGGCACTTGTTCCTCTTCCCAAATCTTTTTGAATAGAAGGTGAAGCATGTTTGCAGTTATTTCAATGTCTGACTTCAGTGCTTCTGCTGGTATATTGTCAGGTCCTGCCGCCTTCCCACTTTTGATTTGTCTGATGGCCATCTTGACTTCTTCGATCGTTAGTGGAGAGACATCTATTGGAAGGTCTGTGTGGGCTGCTTCGATGTTCGGTGGGGCTGGTCTATTCAGCAGTTCCTCGAAGTATTCTGCCCATCTTTTCTTCTGTTCTTGAATATCAGTGATTGTCTTTCCTTCTTTGTTCTTGACTGGTCTCTCTGGTTTGCTATATCTCCCTGCCAATTTCTTTGTTGTATCATATAGTTGTTTCATATTACCCTCTCTTGCAGCTTTTTCCGCCGTCGTTACTAGTTCTCCCATGTATTTCTGCTTGTCGGCTTTAATGCTTTTCTTCACTCCCCTGTTTGCTTCTGCGTAGTCTGCTTGTGCTTTGACTTGCTCTGCTCGTGTTCGGCTGTTGTTAATTGCTAGTTTCTTGTTCTTCCTTTCTTGAATTTTGTCCAGGGTTCCCATGGAGATCCATTCCTTGTGATGATGCTTCTTAAGACCAAGAACCTCCTGACACGTTGAAGTTAATGCTTCTTTTATCCCTTTCCAGTTGTCCTCCAAAGTAGTTTCTTGTTCTTTCAGTAGATCCTGTAGAGCTTGGAACCTATTGTTGAGAGTTATCTTGAATTCTTGGAGCTTGTCAGCATCTCGAAGGAAGGCTGTATTAAACCTTTGTAGTGCTGTTTGTCCAGTTGTCCAGTCTTTCTTTTGCTTCAGTCTCATCTTGGCCACAACCAGGTGGTGATCTGAAGCTATGTCAGCTCCTCTCCGGGTTCTTACATCTTCCATTGATATTCGGAATTTTTTGTTGATACAGATGTGATCTATCTGGTTCTCAGTGTTATGGTCCGGTGAGATCCATGTAGCTTTGTGTATTCGTTTGTGTGGGAATATTGTGCCGCCTATAACCAATTTGTTGAAAGCACATAAGTTTGCAAGTCTCTCCCCATTTTCATTTCTTTCTCCTAGTCCGTGTCGTCCGATTATATCTTCATATCCTGTGTTGTCCACTCCAACTTTAGCATTTAGATCTCCCATCAGGATGGTGAGGTCCTTTCTTGAGCACTTTGCTACAATTGATTGCAGCCTTTCATAGAACTGATCTTTATCATCGTCGTTGCTATCATTGGTGGGTGCATAACATTGGATAACGTTCATTGTGATCCCTTGCTTCTTTGTTCTGAATGATGCTTCTGTTACTTACCTACACTAATTAGGCCGATGAATATGTACGAGGTCGATCGTGATGAATATTTTGTTATCTTTAACGGTCGATAAGACTGGAGTCAGATGATGGAGCCATAGTATTGAAAAAAGGCTGATTAGAGAATATTACGGAAGTCGATCGACAGAAAACAAAAAATAATATCATCAATACTGAGAACCACGAAATCCGAGTCTCTTGAAGCTACTCACAAATGAGTTAAATGGATCTGGTTCTACACCGTAACGGACAATCTGTTTTGTTGGCAAACCAACCAGCATATACCACTTACAAATGATTTGTGTGTGATTCAACCATTTATACGCGAATAGACATCTCAATAAAGGTATTGTATATTTAACGAGACTGATCTTGCAAATAACATGGTTTACTTTATGGTTGAAAAAACTGAACATTTCACAAATAAACTAAATACCTTTCAAAATTACAGTTAATGGTTTCATCTGCAATAATCTAAGGATTTATTGAATCAAATGGCTGTAGGTATTTACAATTAAGTAGAGCTATAACCAAACTTTTTAGAAATGGGACCTCTATGAATTCATTCATAACTACAAAATCACCTTTTTTGCACGGATCACTTACATCCAAAAACATGTATACCAGTTGCAACTCCTTAGACAATAGTGACGGGTCAAAAAATAATGTACTAAATGATGTGTAGTAATGGAAAAAATAAAGCGCTTACGGATGGCGGATGTTTTATCAAAATACTTGTTTTCATTGTCAAAACGCTAACAAATATTGCCCATCTTATAAATACTTTGCACATTCTAGAGTGATACGAAGCAGTCAGATATTAAACATGACACGAAAAAAGACAAAGGTGTGAATGCTGAATAATTTATTAGTATACAAACTCATGAACGTAGGAAAAGAAACTATACATACATTTGGTTTCTGATTTTAAATAATTATAATATACAATAAATATATTTATTCATGAGGTCTGGCAGTCAATAAAAGATCAACTTCTTCTAACGGTGTTCTTAATCTTAATTCACGTTCCGATAATAAATCAACAACTTCTTCAACATCTTCTGGACAATAACGAACTAGATCTGTATACAGAGCCTAAAATGTAAAACATAACATTGTAAACCCAAAAAAAGACTATTTTTGTTGAAGTGATGGACATTAATTGCTACTGACTGACTGGTTAGTACTGTATAAGTCAATATAAAAACAAACTTTTATGAAGTGAGGGCAGAAACTGTAATGGAGAAAATTTGACAGGATTATTTATAATAACTGTTTAAATAAATCTCGGCTCGGTATTTCAGCTAATAACCCAGGTTATTTGAAAATAATACTAACTGAATTTACTAGCTAAAGCAATAACTACCACTATCCAATATTTTTCTAATTAATGAAAAATTTCAGTAGATATCAATGACATACAACTTAACACTGCCATTATGGTTTCGGCACAAAGTTGAAATGTTGGTGTGGTCCAAAAGCACATAAATTCTAATTGTCAATCATGATGTACCGAAGAGCCTACTTCGAACAACAACAATCTTGGAACAAAGACATAAAATACAATTAATCGCATAAAAGAGGTTTTTCTGACTACATAATGTGGTACTTATGGGTTAAAGAATACAGATAACATGGTACCCTGCTTAACGTTTCAGCAACTTTTAAGAAGTACCTTATAATACCACTTTAACTTTTTAAAGTACTTGATGCGATGGTTGATATTCCCGTTAATAAGTGATACAGAACAGAACAGATACACGTTTTCTTTAAATTACCAGACAATCCCTTAGTTTGTTAGCGAATTAGAAGCACTTATAGTCTTTAATATCCAACTCCTAACCTTTTTATTGTGTCTTAATAACTGTTCGCCCTTAATAAAATAAGAGAAAATTCAAAAATGGTGAAGTGTAAATAGTGGGAGAGACTATAATTTACGGACAAACCAATGTAATTAAAGATAGCAGGTATTGGGATTTGGCAAGAAATTCGTTTATTCATATGGTTAAATAGCATTTCACCATTACAGTTGATGTTAGTTTGTGATGAAAACCCTAAATCCTACCCCTAATTCGAAACACTCTTTTAACTTCCAGTAAGTAGGTGGATATTCTCAAGGTCACTTCAGCATCGCTCAAAGGTCGACCATAAATTATAGTCTCACCAAATAGCAAGGAAAATAATCCAAATAAAATTACTTTAGCCCATGGAACATCTTCAACAGCTCGATAAAAAACTGCCTTTACAGCTTGACGGCGTTGGCGAGGATCTAAATTATTCGTAATAATTGTAGTAGATATATTAGAGGTATGAGGTGGACCAGCCATCCAACCAAATGCCATATAAGCTCTCCATATGACTAAACGTAAATGCGCCGACCAGAATGATGGTGTACTAGCACCTAGCGCTACATGAACCAAATTTCCTTCAGGAGATATAAATGATGTAAGAAATGGACTAATTTGTACAGCTTTCTCAAATGCATTACGTACACGTTGATCACTTACAGAATTTCTTCCTATTATTATTACTATTAAAAGAAATATATTGTGGGTAATTAATTAATCAAATGTTTTATTGTTTACTTATGAAATCTTAGTTAAACATAAAAAAATATCTGTAAATTACTACAAGTACAATAAACACGATGATTACAGAATGTAGTTTTCTTGATATCCAAAAACGACAAGGTTTATTATAGCGTTTAGATGGTTTAAACCTTTATGGCGTTTTGTACACATTCGGGGTATATCTACCTTTTGTACTAAATTATTTGTTTGCATTTACTGGGATGTTATTAGTCTCGCTGTGATTTGGAGGTAAGTTTCATTGAAAAATTATTAGCAAGATCACCAGACTAGTAGTTTCATGAATCAAATTTATTTTGATAGCATTGCTGCTATCGACTTAAGTGGACTCATCACTTAATAAACAATCTGGAACATAGAGAAGTGATTATTTAAAACGAATTCAAATGATTTTATCAATAAAAACAATTGATTCGTTTATAATTCAATGGTTATTTACTAGAACTATTCGATAGTAGTTGAAATTCTTAAGCTAACTGATTAGATTAACCAAAAGTATTTATAAAACGACATAAAATTACATGTATCAATAAGTGTATTAAATACATTATAAGCAAAGATGGATAGTGGCTAGCAGTGGGATCCAGGATGCACGTTTCCTATTTTGGACTCGTCAGCTGGATGTACTTACATCCTCGAGTTGGTGTTCACTCCGGGACTCGAACGCTATTGCGTTATCTATTTAGTTGCCTGGTCTTATTGGCCAATAAGAGACTGATCAATTACAGTCCTAAGCGTCAATGAGAAGATCCAAACAGTCAATACAAAAATGTATTAAATACAATTCGAGAAACAGAAAATTAAAACAAAACAACTGAACAAATACATAGAAACTAATGTTTAGTACCTACCATCACCATAATCACAAGTAACACCAGCAATTAAACTCGTCCATCGTTCTAATTCTAAACTTAAAACGAATAAATCTAAAACACTTGGTAAACAAGCAGAACATAATTCTAATTGATGACCAATAAAACTATTGACTTCTGCACCAATTGATCCTTCAAAAAAATTAATATTTTGTTGTTGATTTTGTCGAATATTTGAACGTGAAATACTATTCAGTGTTTGTTGAATAATAGATTGAGAGGCTAACTTTGCTACATTTTGTCTTAAATGGTTTAATTGATGAATTAACGAAGCTAAGAATAATGGCGGTAATAGACCATGACATGAAGATGCATTCATCAGAGATAAGGGTAATTTTCTATTTAAAATAAAACAAATTCGAAAACACAATGAGTTACAAAAAAAACGAGAGGTTTTTTTAACATACTTTAGAAGCTTAACACATACACATAGATATACATTGAAATAGTTATATTTCATCTGAACAGCGACTTCAAGAAGTAGACAATATAATAACAGGTAATTCTCGATTTCACGAAGAAAATCAATAACTTTTCAACTATTTAAAAAATATTCATATAAATTGACCAGGATAATCAAGTATAGATGGTTCTACCGCAATTATCAAACACGCCTATTATATCAGAGTTAATAATAGAGATTCTGTTTGTTTATTCGAAGTGAAATAAATTAAAGTAATACTAATGATTAAATGATTAGAAAAATGATTGTTTAGGGTCACTGTCCCATAAATCTATCGAGAATTTCAATATGTAGTTAGGTTAATAAAATATGTTACAAGTACGTCATGGTTATTTACAAAACAGATGAACAAACATCTAATAACTGAAAAATAATGAGTCTACTTAGCAGTAGTAATAACAGTAGTACATTATGGTACAGGTAATAGAGCCAGAAACACGTAAATCAGGGCTATAAATTATTCGAAAAAATAAGATTTATAATCATACTCAAAAGTGTTATTGTAATTCAATTATGCCAAGGGCAAGCTTTTTTCCATCACAATTAAATGATACTATTCAATAGATCAAACCAAGGTAAATCATGAAGTAAGGCTCTAGATCACAATCCAGTAAGAGTTATTTGTGAGTAGAATACTATTTAATTCTTATTAAACCGACTAGTTTTATTAAATTAAAATGCAAGAATAATTCCTAGTGTTTTCATATTTCTGTATATTTTTAAAATAGAGTTTTATAACTTCAATCACAATATGATATTTTAATGAAATCAAAATACAGTATTTCTGTCATAGTGATCATGTATGTCCCAAATAGTATAACTTCGCAAAAAGATAGAAAATGAGCTTTTAACAATGGTATGAAGTTGAACTAAAGCATCTAACCAGTTACTCATTGATTTTCAATGATTCCATACACTAAAGTTAACATACAGTAGAAATTGTTTATAAAGGAACTAGTTAAGTTCATAATAACATTTCAAAGACAAAAAAAGATGTGATACAAGAAATAATAATAAAAATAATAATTAGTATTGATACCTTTGATCTAATGAAATTCTTGATGGAAGAAGATAACTTAATTGTGATGGAAACATTAAATCCATCAGTATATCATTTGAATGATATTTATTATGTTTTATTATTAGTTGAAATAAATAATTTAAAAGTGGACGTCGATTACGTTGACGTAGAGCACAGAATGCAGATAAACCACCAATTGTTAAATTAATAAATTTATTAGTACAAATTCTATTTTGTAATGGTGCCGGGATTAAATCATCATTATTACCATCAGATGAATTAATATTTTCTGACCAACGACTATTTGATTTTGAACCAAGAGGATAAGATTCATCTGAATTGATTGATAGAAATTTACTACATAATCTATCAATTCGTCCAAGAATAGGCAATAGACTAGCAAGTGATGAGTCTAAAGCCTGGAAAATAATAATAAAAAAACAGTTTGATTAGCCCTAATGACTAGTTAAGTAAAATTATACGTAGGTTATATTATTGATAGATTGATTTCAGATGGGGTGCCGTTGAAAACCAGGGAACACTGAATAGCTTTTTTGGCCCTAGTACGGAGTTTTTCAGTAGTACGCATCTAAAACCTCAGAATCTTCAGATCTTATAACAAACGCTTACCCATCAAAACCACTCGACCGGTAACCAGTGTTAACAAGAAAATATAATTAGATAAGCTCACATTACTGAATGTTCTTAAATTTCTTTTCTTCATCAAATTATCCTTGTACAGTATACCTCCTAGAGATTATTATTCACACTTATTGTACGCGGATAAAATGCTTCTTAATAGCATTTAACACACCTAAAACATTTCTCAAATCATTAGTTATATTAGACTTTTATAAAACACTTCATTTGATTCATATCTTAAAAATAAGCAAACACAGATGTTTTATTTTTAAAAAAAACAGACTATGCAAGTTTAAATGTATTTATCTGGTGAAGTTGCATCATACTTCATCAATTGACAGATATTATTATCTCGTTATGGACACAAAAAGGGCGTCTAGTTCTCCTGTAAGGCAGCTAAGATATCCATATACCTATCAAATCTTTGAGTATGTTACGCAGCAGTTTGCTATCTACTACTTTGTGAACATAAAACAAAGAAAGACGAGATGAACGCGTCCTTGTTAGGTTCAACTACAGATGCCTTGAAGTAAGTAAAGAGGAACACCTAAAATAATAACGCTTAGGTTAGGTGAAAGTAATGTATACAGATGATGAATAGATAGATAAGGCTGTAAGACTTCATGTGTAACTAATTCTTCTAAACGTTTATTCGAACTAAAGTCCTTAGATAGTTGAGTGAGAACATTACTCTAATCTTCAGAAGTTTATAGGTGAAAACATATGTAGATCAGTATTAGTAATGAGGCATGAAATCCATTATATTGTGGGTGACAGCAAACGTAGTTGTTTCATGTTGTTATAATTCAAACATTAAATAGACTTTTTCAAGCCTTTTGGGAAAAAAACATTCATAAAACATCACAAACTATCTTGTTTACCTTTTCATCTGTTGTTAAAAGATCAAACATTAAATTTAAATAGCATAGAATAGGGACAGTACCAAGTAGACCATCTAAAAACGCTTGATTATTAATTTGAGTAGTTAAATCCTCTGGTAATCCAACCAATGTTGTCCATATAGCTTCAATACGCTTACCAAAACGATAATTAGTTTTCACAATAATTGATGGTAATATTTCACTGGTAGATTGTTGTTCATATGAATGGTAAACACCACCAATTGCAGTATATGTTAGTAAATATAATACACGATTTTCTTCATTGAATCCTTTTTGACAGCTACCTGATCCAGGGCATACATCCATTTCTAAATCAATATAATCCTGATAATTTTGTTTTTCAGGGTGTTAAGTAATTGCATAACAGCAGAGACAGCAGGATAAAAAGTGACGTAATAAAACAAACAAAGAGGAAAGAGAATTTATAATTTTAAATTGACTAACTAAACTGGATACTAAATTAACACAAGAGAATGGTAGAATTGATCATAAATGTACCAGTGCATAATAAGAATAATACAAACAATTTAATTTGAAAAGTGAAAGCAGTGGTGAAATTACAGTCAAGTAAAATCAAACCCATAAAATGTAAAGATACATTTTAAAAAATATGCATTGGATGATATTTAAAAATTAAGATACATATACTCGGATTTTCGAAACTTAAAACTGATAAGAACTATATTATGAGATACTTCAACTCTAGAATAGTGTACTTTCAAAAGTAGTTATTAAGTCAAGTCACTAGAATGTTAAATGTATTGTAAGTTGGCATTTAATCAGCTTTTGGTAATCAATTGGTGAAAATACCTATCTGATCAAACCAAAACAGAATCTGAATCTAAGATATAATCATTCAAAATATTGAGCTATAGCTTCATTGTGCATTTAAATATTACAGTGAATTGAACAACGTGGTAATCGTAATCTCAAATTGAATAAATGTGACTGTAAAATATGTATTCTGAAATCTAAAGAAATATCTATGCCAACCACTAACATCTCTCAACGTCTTGGACGATGGGCGGAACTTTTCGAAGGGCAGTTCAACTGGCCTGCTGCTCCGGCAACACCAACCAGTTTGTCCTGCCCCCATGGCCGGTGACGACTGATCCACCAAACGAGGTGGAAGTCCGCAAGGAACTCCAACTCTTGAAACGCTACAAACCACCGGGCCCAGATGACTTACCTCCGGCTCTTTTTAAAGATGGTGGTGACTTTATGGCTAAGGAACTGACGGTGTGATTTGCAAAGGTTTGGGAGCAAGAAAGTGTTCCAACATCATAGAATGAGTCAATAGTCGTCCCTATCTTTAAAAAGGGTTCACGTTGTTCCTGTAACAACTATCGGGGGATAAGTCTACTTTCGATTGCGTCCAAACTATTGGCTTCTATCATTCTTCGTAGGTTGTTTAAAACCCGAGAACGATTGACTCGCAAGGAGCAGGCTGGTTTTCGTTCTGGTCGAGGATGCATTGATCACATCTTCACCCTCCGCCAAATGTTAGAACACCGTCATACTTATCACAGGCCAACAATCGTAGTGTTTCTTGATATCAGGGCGGCCTTCGATTCGTTGGACAGGACTGTTCTCTGGGATTGTCTATTGAAGAAGGGTGTGCCTGAGAAGTTCATTAACATCTTAAAGGCCCTGTATACGAACACCTCAGGCAGAGTGAGAGCATAGAACCACCTTTCTCCCTTGTTCCATTCAAGCACTGGGGTTAGACAGGGTTGCCCGATCTCACCATTCCTATTCAACTTTGCCATCGACGACATCCTGAAAACAGCTGTGATGGATGTAAGTAATGGCGGTGTGGATCTGCTGCCTGGAGAACGACTTCTCGACCTTGAGTATGCGGATGATATCGTCTTACTGTGCGATAATGCCCAAGGCATGCAATCCGCACTTAATCAGTGTCCGCAGGTACGGCATGTGCTTTGCACCCTCCAAGTGTAAAGTACTCCTACAAGACTGGCAGGATTCTCATCCTGTACTCACCCTGGATGGTGAGCAGATTGAAGTAGTTGAGAAGTTCGTGTATCGAGGTAGCTATATAAGTGCTGGTGGTGGCGTGAGTGATGAGATTGATGCACGTATAAGGAAAGCCAGAGCAGCTTATGCCAATCTGGGCCATCCTTCGTGATGTTAGTCTGGCTGTAAAAGGTCGGATCTACAACGCGTCGGTGAGAGCAGTTTTGCTCTATGCTTGTGAAACCTGGCCTCTCCGAGTTGAGGATGTTAGACGTCTCTATGTGTTCGATCATCGTTGTCTTCGAAGGATTGTTGACATTCAGTGGCAACACCATGTTAGTAATGCAGAGGATCAGCATCGTGTGTTCGGGCGCAGAGACGATAATTCAATTGGTTTCACCATCTTGAAACACCGACTTCGATGGCTTGGACATGTTTTACGAATGTCGTCCCAGAGACTTCCACGTCGTGCATTATTTGCCGACTCTGGGACTGGTTGGAAAAGGCGGAGAGGAGGTCAGTGTATGACATGGTGTCGTGGTATGAAAGAAAGCTGCAAAGGGCTGGCTTCTGTTGGTCCTTCACAACTCTCTGGCTGGGGTCCGAGAGATGGTGCAACACAGTGGCTAGAGACGTTATCAGATATGGCTCAGAATAGAAGCCAATGGCGAATCTGCTGTAACCTTTTACTTTCCTCATAAAGAGTGGTTATAACTTTCTTAACTGAAAGAGCTCTTCTGGTTGCACATTTCAGTTCCCCCCATCATTACTCTTCTCTCTTTTTTCCTTCTTCTATATACACGCATCTTTCCCCTTTCCCTTCCTATTCTCATTGTTTTGTGTGGCGCATATGTATCCGGTGCTCTTTGTACCAATATGTATGTGATTAAATAAATTAATAAATAATAAATAAATAAATATCTTGTAATGTGTAGGATTTAACTAGTGAACAAAATTATTAGATTAAAACTAACAAGTTTGAATATATATATATATATATATATATATATATATATATATATACAATATCCCCAGACAATAGATACATGATTTTCACATAATGTAACACACTTTTACAAGGTACAAAAGTAATATCTAAATTGAATTAAACAATTTTTTTATTTAAACAACTATATATACCTGTAGAAGTTTTAACCTAGGAGTATATACAGTTTGATAAAATTCAACCAACTTATCCATATCATCAATTGGCGGTCCAAAATCTTCCGGTATAGGATACATGCTTAAGGCGGAATCAAATATGCGTCTTGATTCTTGAATTGGAATTGCAGCATCTTGACACGTCGAGGTTACAAGTAAATCATGACTTATTTGCCAGAAACCTTTAGCGTAGGAACGCCATAAGTTTAAATCTTTTTGGTTTTTACCCTCGGATATGATTGCCCGACCACAGTTGCGCCAAATGGATATGGCAGTCTAAAGAGAAACGGAATATATATATATATATATATATATATATATGTATGACGGTAAGTTGAAATGTTAGGAAAAAAGGCAATTGCTTAAATATAATGATGAACCTGGATTGCTATATTACGAATGTGAAGTCACTTTTTACCCTACCGTGATACATCAGCTGAAATCCGGTACAGGAAATCTCATAATTTTCAGATCAAAACATAAGATTAAACTATAAAGTCTGATAGTTTGTCTGCAGCGTCGGAAAATAATTGTGTACTATCTACTTTGATTCTGCATGACAAAAGAAGCCTAAGGTGGTTCCAGGTAGTCAACAGGAAGCCATGAACCTATACTTTATGTTAGTTGGCATTCGCTAACAAGGCGTACTTGGAATATTGAAGGAACTGATGTTCCTAGTGGAACTCGGACCAGCATCAACCAACTTCACGACTAAAATATTCGGTTTGCAAATGGTTTTCAACTACCTAACAGCAAAGCATAATGGGATCAATGTTGATTCACTCAGACCAGCAAATACATCCCAACTTCATCAGTAGGATTCAGAGCAAGGGCGCAATAAACATGAAATCGTCCTGCCTATCCTAATGATAATGTTGGATACAACTTTTATTGATTTATAGATGTAAAGAAAACAGTAAAAGACATTTGGAAGAACGTGTAGAATATGTTGCAGAATTTTATAGTACCACTTAAGTAATGTTTTTACACGTTGAAAAGGTTAATAGACGAGCTGAGTTACAGAACATCAAATTTCTAAGAATTAGCACTATAAGTAGTATAATACTAGTTAAGTAAAAAACTATCATTAGTTCACTACCTACCTTAACATTAACTAGATGTGTTTGAATAGCATTGGAAAGTCGTTCAGATGCCAATGTAAAACGTAGTTTACTCAATGTTGTACGCCAATTTTCCTTAAGTTCAGTAGGCCACCATGATGGAATTAAATTCATTTGAGTAAGTGCAGCATCAATAAAACAGCGATGGGCTTGTGCCCAAACATCTTGATGTTCATTAGCCAATTGTGATGGCGTATTCAATTGACCTTTATTGTTACCATCATTATTGTCAGCTCGATTGTGTGTAGTGTCTATATTACTCGACATCCATGATTGTGATGGAAATGGTGTTAAACCTTGACGTTGAATGCTACCTACAGATGCTAAATCATGTACAAGACGAATATCTAATGGTAGAGAAATGAAGGAAAAATGCACACAATTTAGTCAGATATGTGCAATCTGTTAAATGTTCATAAAGGACAATTTTAGGAGATAATTAATATACTGCTACGAATAAAGATAAGTATTCAGACAATAATATACAATCGCTTGTTTTTCACAGTTGAATTCACTATTTGATCTAAGCTAGACCCCCATTAAAAACCTGGAAGCCGTCCAGTGCCTGTGAAAATACTACGATCTCCACATATCTCCATACCGATAGTAATCACTTGTTTATTTGTTGTCATACTTTTTCAATTCAACTTCGATCATTATTCAGAAAAAATTTTAAACAATAAATTGTATATTTAAAAGAAATTTGTTCATTTGTTTAGTTTTGCAATGAATGTGATGAAAACAAACATCGATTATCCTCTTTAACAATTACTGTCATAATTTGTTTAGATTTTATCTTAAACAAAACATATTCTCTACGATTTTTGTTTTGTGTTTACATCTCATTCATTCATACCCAAATGCACTGGTACGGCCAGGAGTGGGGAGAGTCCACTCTTCCTCTCGAAATGCTCTTACATGGCCACGCGAATATATAGCCTCTGCCAGGGAAGTCCTACTCACTGCCTTCTCGTGCCACGGGTGTTGTTTGCGAAATTGAGATGACGAAAAGCGAATGTCCGGCGCTTTAACCGGCTTGGTGGACACGGAAAGTTCACCTAGGGGAGTTAAAAAACCCTGATATCAAACCGGTGGTGCACATGGGCTCCAGTATCCTGAGGGAACAAATGACGTATGAACCGATCGCCGGTCACCGGCTATCATGGGACGGCATCTCCTCACGATGCTCCACTGCCTTGTGGATCAGACCTTTTGGTCAAAGGCTCCGGGTGTGGCCTCCTAAGAAAACCACCTGCTTCAGTTTGGGCACCTGAACAGTATCACAGCCCTCACACAAATCAAATGAGATTTGTGCGGCGCATATATATATGGTGCCCCGTTGTACCGATATTTGTGTTTAAATAAGTAAATAAAATTCTAGTTAAATCATTCAATTTGCTATTGTCATTCCCTGATTACATTATAAATACTACCTATCGTATTACAACATAATTTTCACTATGATCAAATGTTGGATTCTATTCACAATAATTTCTGAATTCCGAATACTTTTTTCCGGATTTTTGTCAAGTAAGTGTGATACTTAAACGTAACTATAGCTTTATAAATAATATAGGTAAAAAAAGGCTTCATTGCTCAGATTTAATGTTTTGTTCTATAACTTAATCAGAATGTTTAAACTACTCAAATCATTATGTTAATCGATATTTAGGTTAATATTGGAATGGTTCATTTTTTCCAAAAGTGTGACAACATGATGCTGTGCTACTAAGGTATGAGGAGTTTTTAAATGTCAAGTAGTTGAATCATCAAAATAAAAGGCGATGTCATAAAAGTAAATACTAATATAAGACAAAGACGAAATGTAATATAAATAGATTATCGTCTAAAATCCTACCCATAGGAAAGTGATGAGATTTAGCTATATCACGATCATATGCTCCAAGAAACTCTAAACATAATAAAAATAAGCGCTGTTGAAATAATGCTGTACGAGCTCGACTTTGAGGAGTATCAGCTGTAGACTTTTCTTCAAATTTCCATAGATCTATTAAGCATGGTTTAATATCATCAAATAAAACTAATCTTTCAGGATCTTCCTCTTCTATGTCCTTTTGATCTTGAGCGTTTAACACATCTGAAGGTAACCAGCCAACTGCTTCGCGAGCACGTTCTAGACCAACCCAAGCTTTTCCACGACGATATAAGATGGCTCGACTCTTTCCAAATGAACCATGGCCTGCAAGTGAAGGGATGCTTCCACGACGAACCCATTGGTCAGCTGCAACTTCTGACGAAAGAATGGATGGAACAACATCTGGACCTGTATTTTCATAGGATTCATCAGGAATACCTTCTCCTGAACAACTAATCAATGCGTCTTCACAAGTGCTAGCAATAGCTAAACAGAAAAATAATCAATCAATCGTGTTAGCATACTATATGAGATTCTAAAAGTTGAGAGTTTATGAACTTTTCGTTATGCTGAAAGTAGCAAGAACATATGTCAATTTAAATTATCATTAACATCTAGAGGCGGGATTTGATAGTCATCGTTACCAAGATGTCACACTTGATTCCCTTATGAATCGTAGCTTTAGACTACTAGATTGATATAACCATATATGTTCAAGTACTCAGAAGTTACATTTTTATACAGTAACAACAAATTAGTAGGGAACTAGCTAATCGATATACAAATATACTAGTGGAAAAGTTTATTTCGTTATTTGAAAGAAATCGCCTTTAGAGGACTATTGATAAATTTGTTTTACGTAAGGTTAATAATAAGTACAGTGTTGTAAATATAAATAAATACATACAAATCTAACGGGAATTAGCTACTTACAAAAACGTCAGTACTGAAACGTGTCATCACAAGCCAAGTAACAACTAACTACAAAAGTTTTCAAGAGCACAAATAATTATGTAAACGTTGTTGGATAGTTTGTAGAGATTTATGTATTTTGAGATGGCGGAGAAGATTTGTAGCTTAGGTGGGTGATTTAGATGTTGGTTTGTTCTCTGAGCTGGGTGGTTTGGTCGTGGAGCTTTCATCGTCCTTCTGAACGACATCATCAGCACAAACTTCGGGTAGAAGTGAAGTGTTTGAATTTCTCCACATGTGATTCACAGCTTGTCCTCTGCACCTCGATGTTGATTGGTTCTTATTGATCTTAAATCTGTCATTGTTTATTTCTTTGTTTTGGTTGTATCTCCTATTGGTTTGATTTTTGTTCCTATCTTCCTGCATAATTTTCTTGATTGGTTGATAGATTGGATTGATTTCAATATGTTTGTTTATTGCTGATTGACCTGAGTGCCAAGCTTCTAAAAATTCTCTGGTATTTTTGGAATTTTTGGAAATCAAACCAATAGGAGATACAACCAAAACAAAGAAATAAACAATGACAGATTTAAGATCAATAAGAACCAATCAACATCGAGGTGCAGAGGACAAGCTGTGAATCACATGTGGAGAAATTCAAACACTTCACTTCTACCCGAAGTTTGTGCTGATGATGTCGTTCAGAAGGACGATGAAAGCTCCACGACCAAACCACCCAGCTCAGAGAACAAACCAACATCAAGATTTATGTATGCTGAAGACAGTTCCCATTAAGGTGAATTTACTCCAGTTACGGCAGTCAGTAAAGGCTAGTTGATTAGTGGCTAAGATTCTCAACTTTCAGTCACTAAGTTCCAGGATTAATATCAGCTGTACTTCGGTTTGCACAACCGAGTAGTATTGTAGTGAACGAGAACACAAGTGGGAACAATGGAGTGTATTTGAACACACAAATTGCAAAACGTCTTACTAAAATCTGAGAACCATATATTAAATACTTCATTTACAAAATGTCAATCAATCGTCTCAGACTTCATCGTTTCTTCGCCTCCACAGCAATCATTCTCTGTTCTCGTTCTTTTTTCTCAGATCTTATTAACCTTCTGCCACCATGCATTACACTTTCCATTGATGATACATACTACTTATATCTGTCGACATCAGTAGCACACACCATAGTATCACAAGCCCTCATGCTTAGAGTGTAGCTTATTCTTAAGTACCTGGCGAATGAGTTGATTGACTGATGATGATAATTAATTTGATTATAAGCGATTAAACTAATCAGATTCTAACTAGTAGATAGTGGGTTCGAACCCATCTCCACCTACTTCGGTTCAGGCAGATGAGTATTATGACTAACCCGTACAGAAACAGCATGGTTGAAAACCAAGAGCATACATTTATATTTGTTAGGTAAAATCTATCATTATTAGTGTTATTATTATTAAAACGAGCTATGCAGTCAACCATAGGAGGAGTTAGGCAATTACCCATAGACAACATTGAAGGATCTTTATGTTAAAAACAGAACTGAATAGAATTAGAAAATGTAGACCGATAGATAACAGCTGAAGGATGAAAATGTTGGTTATACAGTGAATCAGATAGTACATATTTTATCTTATTTCCGATTCATTTGATGGATGTGTTTTTGAGTGTTAGACAACGTTGTTATTCTCATCAGCTTACTAAGATAGATAGATATTAAGATATAAATTTATGACTATATCGCTTATGTTTTTAGTATATGTACGACAAAAAGCAAATTAGACTTTGATACCGCTTTTTCTTTTGATAACAATTCCGTTTGTTGTTTACAAAGCATTCGATTTTGTGCGACTAATGAAGTGATATCAAAGTAAATAAGATTTTAGTAATGAAATTTCATGATTTGAAGATAACATAAATCGTAAGCCCAAACCAAGAAAAAAGGGATCAATATATGTACAAATAGGTTGTATACTGAAATAATTGGCGAGGACTTGTTGAATTAAAATACAGTTTACGTCACAGACTAAAATCAGCTGAAGAATTGTTGAAAAACAGGGAACATTGGAGAGCGCTTTCAACGCAATAGTTTAAAGGCACTATTCGCAAAAGCACACGTGGTAGCCATAGATTCGATTGCATAAACCAGTCAGGCATGAATAAGGCACAGGACGTAATGGATATATTCATCGGTTCAAGTTACCACACTGTATAAGCACAGCACGATGAAATTATCAAAAAAAACCTCAGAGCAGTAGAATTAGTGACAGTATCAGTGTTCGTAAAAAAAATAGACATAGGAAATATGATTCGAGAATAGAGAATTCTTTAGTGAAATAAGAAGTATACAATGACTTTGAACTCAAGTTCTAAAGGGAAACAGAGTGAATGCATCAACGCTATCGCAAACAACCCTAAAGTAAGATGAAACAGTCGCTCAATACTCTTCGATTTTTGAGTTTTATTTTAACTGATCTCAGTTTAACGAAAACTACCTAGAACTAAGTTGTATCTCAAGAAGGAATCTGTTAATTGCATTCAACTAATAAACATTTTATTTTGTTGGTGAAGTTACTTCATCGACTTTCTTTACATGAACATATGATAGTATTGAGTGTGAAGTTAAATAGCTGTCAAGTTACGGATTCTTGAAGTTTGTAAATAATGTAAGTTAACTTGAATTATTCGATGGTCAGTACAAAATTTGAATAACGGATTGATCAAAAAGCAAGTGTGAGATTTCGGCAATTAAAGTTTGCATTTGAAGGGTAGACGGAAACTCTGATTAATTAGTATATCATTTTAGAAATAACTTTCAAAATCTACAAAAATACAGCATATTATTCATCACAACAAACCGGTTAATTTCCCAGCTACACTAGTCCACTTTGAATGTAGTTCTTCAACTGACATGTCTGAAGTTATTTCAGAAATAATTGGTGAAATAGTTTGATTTTTCTTATAACTTTTAGATAATTTCGATTCTTTTAGTTGTGATTTATCTTGTCGTTTATTTCGAGTTTTAAACCATCCATTCCAATGTTGTGAACCAGGTTGACCAAATCTAGGCGTGCCACTTGACCAAAATAATTCCATTTCTAGAATCCGTTGCTCAAATGAACTTTGTTCAATTTCTGTAGGTCGAAAACAATTGAATTCAATAACAGCTTGCCATACTGCTAAAGCTCGTTCTGAATGTCCTGCTTGAGCTAACCAATGACAATAATCAGCCAGGTAGTCTAATTTGTGTTAACGAAGAAAGAATATCATTGAATATATTATTTGTGGTACTAAATAGGTATACATATAAGAAAAATGGCAAGAGTAAATGCTTATAGCCCTAAGCGATGTGTTAAAGGATAATTTACTCAATTTTATTCTATTGTAAATATTCATGATATGTCTTATTGGTTAGTAACAATTTCAAAAATACAGCTTATTTTTATGAGGTGTTTTACTAATTCATCTGTCAATAAATCACAAGAACAAATTGTTATAATGAGACAAAAAAATAGTAGAATGCAAACATCCATCGGAGTTGTCAAAAACTTAATTCCAAAACAAATATTTCAGACGAACACAATAATTTAAAGGAAGCAAAAGGTCAATAGGTAAGTACTTATTATCAGAGACTAAAGAAATACAATACCAGTTGCTCTATTTTCTTGTAGAACTATAAAATCAGAACATAATGAATGGTTTATTGCGACAATAATCCAACTCGATTTGATTTTCAAGTAGCAATGTATTCTTCACAACGTTGGACATTTTCCAGTCACTTACACATATTTATCTCAGGTTAAATTTTGAAAATTTATAAGATCTTCACATTTAAGGGATATATGTATTACTTGAAGTTGAATTAAAACTCCAAACAAGTTATGAGCAAATGATTATTGATAAGAATAGTCAGTCATTTATATGCAACGTAGAACCTGGTACATATTTACCACGGATAAAGTTGTCATAACATATGAGTAGAAGGAGAAAAATTATCAAGACAAATCCCAGATTAGTACAATTAGCTTCCGTATCGGTCGTAGCATAAAATATTAGATAAAGAGGACGTGAGTCGAGAAGGAAATGTGGAATAAAAAAGCATGGCAATGCCCCCAAATGCCCTGGTATGGCCGGGAGTGGGGAGAGCCCACTCTCCCTCTCGAAATGCTCTCACATGGCCAGCGAATATATAGCCTCTGCCAGGGAAGTCCTACTCACTGCCTTCTCGTGCCACGGGTGTTGTTTACGAAAGTGAGAGGACGAAAAGCGAATGTCCGGCGCTTTAACCGGGTTGGTGGACACGGAGGGTCCACCTAGGGGAGTTGGAAAACCCTGATTCCAAACCAATGGTGCACATGGGCTCCAGTATCCTGATGGAACGAATGGCGAATGAACCTGCTGCTGGTCAACGGCTACCATGGGACTGCATCTCCTCACGATGCTCCACTGCCTTGTGGATCAGACCTTTTGGTCAAAGGCTCCGGGTGTGGGCCTCTAAGAAAACCACCTGCTTCAGTTCGGGCACCTCGGCAGTATCACAGCCCTCAAGCAAATCGGATGAGATTTGTGAGGCGCATATGTATCTGGTGCTTCCTTGTACCAATATTTATGTGTTTAAATAAATAAATAAACTGAACTTTAGAGGGGTTCACACAGATTTTATGTATCTATAGTTTAGTGGTTTAAGGATTTGGTTTTTAACAAACAGTGAGCAGACTTGCACCCGTTAGCACGTATCTCCTTTCAGGTATTCGATTAGTATCATTATTCATTATATAAGATGTGTATCTTAAACCTGAGCACAGGGAATCGCATTTAGTTACCTATTTTCACCAATTAGTTAACTGACTAGGTAGGGGGCTCTATTTAATTCAAAAACAAAAAGTTTACGAAAATAAATATTACCGATTGTTCTCTCTACAGTATCCGGTTGTGGTCTATGTGACAATATTCTTCCAGATATTATACCTGATAGTGTTGATAGACCTCTCTTATAAACACCATCAATGCGTGAAAATACCCCATTTCCAATTCCTTGATTTACAGTAGTTAGTGATGAATGCCGACCCATAAGATGCGCCGTATAGCCACGCCACATGGGTACAAGTTGGGGATAAGTGAATACCAGCTGAGCCCAATCCCGATTAATTTGATCTGCCTGACAGACTTCCTTTTTAGATGAAGATTCTAAGGCACCATGAGCTTCAAGTTCAGCCACCAGTTCGTTTGTTTTAATTATGAATAACTTTAGTGTTAAATTACCAGGATTAGCCGTAAGAGCTCGATCAGCCATTGATAACTGCTTCCTCAATATAATAAGTCTGTCACTTTTAGAAAATTTAAAGTCGGAACATAACTGTTTCTGTTCAAAACCAGTACTTGTAATATGTAGAAAGGAGGCTCCTTTGTCTTGCAAATCAATTAAATTGAGCCACGAAATCAAATCACCTGGTCGATCGTAGACCCGACGGTTAAGTTCTTCGCAAAGATTTAAAATATCATTGTTTTTCATTCCCGTTGTTGATACGCAAGTACTAAGATCATCAGGAAAACGAATTAAATCTGTCGACATGTCACTTTTATCAGATGATTTGATAACGGTACTAGGACTTTGAGTGATTGCCCTGCTTGACTTACTAAAATATCGTGATTTTTTTGTGAGTCCACGTTTACGTTTTACTTCACAGCCCAAGAGATCATACAAATATAAATCTTTGAATCCCAATATTTTCGTTTTACTCTTCTGTTTAAATTGTGACACATGCTTTTCGTAAATACAACCATGTTTATAAATTTCTCTGTTACAAGATCTATCAATTCTGTATGCATCATTAATATCTAGTCCAGGAATGTCTTCTAAAAATACGGCGGTTGATGTGACTTTCTGTTTTTTTTCTAATTTATAGTTTTTAGAAGAAGATGGGTGTTTAACTGATTTTGATTCTCTTTCCTTCTCAATATTTGCTGCTTCTATAGATAAGAAAATAGTAGTAATATCATAAACAAAAAGTTCTACCGTTAGTATGGACAATGAGCTTTGGTTCTGAGTATGTCGAGCTCTGAAGCCAAGACGTCTTATCTAGGTTTATTTGTAGAAATTATTTACAGAACTTACTGTCAAAAGATCCACTATCGATATTTGGTCTATCATTAGAATGAGATGCACATGGAAACATCTTTACTTGATTGATCGGAAATGTAAGATTTCACGACTTAAAGCAAATGACTTATACGTAGTCGCATGGCGACATAAACGATTATAAATACATCTGAAACGATAAATAATAGGAAAGATTATGAACAAAGCTTTCGATCACTTACTAATGTATGTATACACATAAATTCTGCATAGTATTTTTCGGATATTAACCGACTTCAGTAGTATTGTACTGAACAAGAACACTAGTTGGGGACAATCGAATGTATTTAAGCACAAAATTACAGACCATCCCACTAAATTCTGATAACCATACAGTCAATAGTTAATTTGCAAAATAACCATAAATTATCTCAATCTTAACTGTTCCTTTTGCAGTTAGTCTTCCTTGATTTTATTATTCATGCTTTTTCGTACTAATTGCGCTTCATTTCTGTTCTTTTCTTATCGATCTTCCGCCAAAATACATCCTATTTCTGACCATCACCACATACTACATATATGGATATCAGTAGACCACGCCACAGTATCAGTCAGTCAGTCAGCTACGACATAGTATAGTTCTCCTTAGCCTAAACAGTTGAGTATTTTCATGAGAAAAGCTTGATTTGGTAGCTTTTCGTAGTTCGAAAATTTACGGGTAGTTAACAAACCATTTGATTCAGAAGCATCAGGCCACTAAAACCATCACCTCAAATTTGAAGATCTCAATATAGTTTTCAGACTTCAGTTGATTGACATCGAGCACGAATATTAAAATAACAAACTGTCACAACCGTTATGAAACTTAAGTTTACAGTCACAATGGTTATCTTTGCATATGACCACATTCAAGAAATCAGTTCACTTTCAATTTCTTTTCTTACATCAAAATGTGGTGGTAAAATGTATACAAATTTGACGACTTTCTATATATTTGTTTAAAAGATATTCAACGAGAAAGTAACCATACGAGTTGTTGAAACTCGCTGATGAAGGTACTTGACTCCTAAATTTCTAATCAACACTTGTAGTTTTTTTCATTTATTAGGTAGTTAATAGGATATCACTTGTGCTCAAAATAACTATGATTTATGGTCCTGAACACAAATTTATCAATGGTGTTGGAAAGCTGTAGATAACACTTTATTTTAGAATCCAATTGACCTTTGAGATGCGGTCGACTGAACACCCAAATTTTATACAGTCCATCGTTTTTGCAAACACACAGGTAAAAACTCTTGACTTTAGGAAATTTTATGCCAATTGCTATAGGGCAATTACAAATTTTTATTGCTTATATGAACTGACATGCTTGACGATATAAGATCGTCTGAATAGTTTGCGCATGAACCTATCAATAAGTGACTCAGTTAGCCAAGTATGAAACTGTTAACTAACATATTCAAAGTATTTTGCAAGTAGCCTAACAGGCCTTGTCGCATGTACTCATTTTATGGTGGCTGTGCTTTTTTAAACTTTTACTATATCGGTGCGAGAATCCTAACACTGATGCTTGGTTTTTCGGATGGGTAATTGAAAACTGACTGGACACAATTTAAGGGTCCATTTAAAAATTTATTGACCGTTATTTTAGCTGTCTATTTCAACATGTCACTAATCCGTTTTTATACAAACTTGTTCAGATATTTATTTTCTCTAGGCTACTACTCCTAGTAAGTTTGAATGATTAATTGTTTTCGTTCATTTCTAATGAATGGTAAAGACCATACCACAATAACTGAATAATAATCACTTTTATGATAAAATGATAAAGTCAAGGACAGGGGTTTGAGTAAGTCTCCCAGAAGTTTCGTTTGCCGCTAAGGTTAAGAAAATACTTGTCCTTAAATCAAAAAATATCAGATTCCAGAATTAATAATCTACCTAAAAGGAGGCTAAGGCCTGTGTGGTTTATGTATATGATTTTCTTGCGTTAAGTTTGAGATAAAGTTGCACCTGAAAAATGAATACCGGTTGTGTAACTCTATATTTATAACCATATTACTCATGAGTAACTAGTTTTTATTGCACAATAACTGTTTGGCAATTAGAAGCGACTAGCGCTTTAAGACTAGTGTTCTTGAATTCAGTCTGACCACCAACTAGTTGAAAAAAAATGAGTTAAGTAACCACAATATTTTCCACCATTTTACAGAGTTAACGTACATTAATAAGGGGTAATTCATATAGTACAAACACCGGTCTACAGATGTCCAAACTTTCATTACACGAAAAAAACAAGATACAAACCATAAAACCGAAAAAAACATAAATTAAGGAATAGACTATTCTTTCTCGGACTTAAAGCTACTTTGACATATGACCGTTTACAACGAAAAATAGTTGAAATTAGAAACTACCCGTAAGTAAAATATGGAGCCACTAACTTTAGTTTTGAGCATTATCAACGAGGATATGCAATAGGAAGAAACTATGTAATGTCAAAAAGCACAATGATTTAAAGATTAATGCACCTAATGTTTAGTTACACGGATGGTACATAGTAAAAATATAGAAAATTCAAGTCCTGTTGTTTAAAAACAGTTGACCTTAAACTGATGGTCCTTGTTCCGTAAATTCTTCCTACATGTAAAACGTTTGCTGAGGAACTTATTGTAGCAGTCTTTAAAGAATATGAACTGAATTCAATTTTAAGAGACTAAAGAAGTTTCCTCAGAACTCTATTTAAAATCTCTAAAGCATTCCTGGTATTACTTATATGACAAAGAATGATGCAGAAGCCACTATGGGTGCAGCGCGAAGTCATTTAAATGGGCTTCGGATCTGTTACATTAATGAATGAAGCCTGCTCAATAAGCGGTCGGAACTAGGTGTACAGATTGACTCTATCAAGCCTGATGTAATCGTGGTCACAGAAACCTGGCTGACGCAGCCTATAGATAGTATGGGACTTGATTTTGATGGTTTTACGTAAATAAGACCCGACAGAATCCAGAAGCGTAAAGGAGGGGGAGTAGCTCTATTCATTAGGAATACTATCCCATTTACCATTATTGATAGTGCATATCATGAGGGTGGGACGTGTGAAGTAGGTAGTTGCCGCTTGAAATGCAAAGAATAAGAGCTGCTGATTGATTTGCTCTACCGCAGTCCAAGCTGAGAGGTAAACGAGGTCTTGCTAGAAAGTCTCAATACTTGGTCACAAAGTGGCCGATGTTTGATCCTACGAGACTTTGTCGCACCCATGGTAGACTGGAAAAATCTGAGAACTGAATTGTCAGAAAATTCCTTTGAGCAGGAACTAGTCGATGCGGTTATCACATGTGCCCTAGCGCAACATGTGAAAGAAGCAATTGAGTACAACCCGGACTCTGAATCATCCTTACTGGATCTTATATTGACCCACTGTGAAAATGACGTAACGAACCTCAATTAAATGCCACCCCAGGTAAAAGTGATCATGCAGTTCAAACTTTTGACTTTCGTGTAGTTGTCAAAAACGAGCAAGCGTTAGCCCAACCCAAACTTAATGTCTGGAAAGCAAATATACGAAATATTATACACTGAACGTAGATTGGAAAATAGAGCTGGAGTCTCCAAATGAAACAGCTTGGGATGTATTTCGAAATTTATGCTTGAAAGTTACTGCACCCCACATCCTTTGAACTACACCAATGGGTCCGAGAAACTCTACCATGGTTTAATAAGGAGGTTAACACCCTTATCCGTAAGAATAAAATGTGGGAAAGATTTAGGTTATTGGGTACTGATGAGACAAAATTTTAATATCGAGAAGCTGAAAATAATTGGGCACCGACTCTCCGCAAGTCTAGGAGGTTTTACAAGAAAAAAATGTTAAGGAATCTATAGAATGTCCTGAACGCTTGTATTCGTATATAAACCAAAGGACTAAAAGAAGAGGAAATATTCCGGCACTATGAGAAGGCAGTAATGTTTCATCATTAGTGGAGGACGACTATGGTAAAGCTAAAGTATTGTCAAACTACTTAAGCAATGCGTATTCTGTAGGAACACCCCTACCGTCAGTTCATACAAATCCTCCCATGCACACTGGGCGTGACCATTAAAGAACTTGATGTCTTTGGTCTTCTAAGTAAGTTTGATGTAGGCGAATTCACGGGACCCGATGAAATGCATCCTACGTTACTAAAGGAACCAGCTTACTTCGTTGCGAACCCCATATATATATGTTTTAACCTATCCGTAACCCAGGGTTTTCTATCAAAAGACAGGAAGGACGCCATAGTAAGTCCTGTTTTCAAAACAGGTACACAACATAAACCTAAGAACTACTGACTCGTTAGCCTAATCAGCATGGTTGTTATAATTTTATCAAAGATTATTCACAAGGAGCTGTTTAAGTACTTCTATAACAACCGGATCCTCTCGGAGAAGCAGTATGGTTTTAGAATGGGTTATTCTTGTTTCACTAACTTATTAGCGGCTCGTGAAAGCTAGTGCGCTCTTAAAGTCCAAAAGTTACTTATGGACGTAGCCTACATTGACTTCATCAAAACTTTTGACAGAGTTTCTCACAATCGGCTGTTCTATAGGTTAATAAATATCGGGGTTGGAGGCAATCTATTAATGTGGATAAAAGACTTCCTAGTTAGGCGCCAACAAAGAGTACGGATGAACTCCAAGTTGTTTAGCTGGGAAACTGTGCTTAGCGGAGTGCCTCAGAGTACAGTTTTGGGAATAGTCTTATTTCTCCCTTATGTAAATGACCTTCCTCGTCTCCTGTCATTATCGATCTTGCTATATGCTGACGATGTCAAGATACGGGGAGCGATAAAAAGGGTGATAGCTTAGAGCTTTAAGATGACCTAAAGAAAATATCTGAATGGTCTCAAACTTGGCAGTTGCCGATAAATACTTACAAGTGTATTGTGATGCATATTGGTCATCAAGGTACAGATACATACACGATGAATAACAGTGAGTTACAGGACTAACACAGGCCATTTTCCTGAAACTGATAACAGAACCATACAATTGATTAATATCCTCAACAACCTAATGTTTATTATGTGATGGCTACCAATGAAATCATTG